CGTGGGGATGGCCACATCACATTCCTTTCTCCTCTCTTCTCCTCCTGGGATTTTGTTCATACACACACGTGCCCTGCTATGTTTTTCAGTCCTCTAAGACTGGGACTCGAACCACAGTCAGTGATGTGTGGGTCCTACACCTTAACTACTACACCATCTGCTTGCCCCATGTACTGATACCTCTTAAAACTCAAAAGATGGACCATTACTCTGGTGGGTGGAACTCATGCATTAACCAGTAGGGCGGAGTCTGCACATGTCATAATAGGCATTTAGTCACAGGGTGATGCGGAGGCAGGGGTGCTGTGACATAAATACTGGAAGAGCTCTGGGCACTTGTCCAGTTACTCACTTGACTCGTGGAGAGTGGATGAGTAACTAGGAGTGTTGTCAGAGAAGATAATGACCAAAAAGCTTCCCCCAATTGCCCCTTCTAAGCCCCAGCCTCCTCCCCGTCCTCCTTCCCGCCTTCCTCCTTCCCGCCCTGCTCCAGCAAGCCACCTTCCTGCCATCTCTCCTAAAGCTGTCAGCTCTCAGCAGACTCTTCAGCGAGATGCCTCTGTTTCATCTTCCCGCCCTACTCATTTCCCTCCCCTGACTAACACTAACACTTGCCCCTGCCCTCCTGTGTGGGTCTCCAAACCCAGCTCCTCCTCTGCGCCCTACCGGCCATCTACTGGCCGCCGTCCTGTCCGCCTTGGTTCCCTTTTCAATAACTCCAACTTCTTTCTCCCCACTCCTCCTCCTAGCCCCCCTTCCTAATCCCCTTTACTCCCCACCAACGTCCAGCCACCCCCACCGGCCAGACATGATGCTCTACAGCCTTTATACTGGAGAGAGGGTTTCCTTTCTAGTGGGCCAGTTCTGGTGCAGCTCGGAATTGCAAGGTCTGTATTTCCCAGCGGAACTGCCAGCTGGACATTGGGGATGGCAGCCACCATGCAGCCTGGAGTGTCACCTTCATTAGTTAGGGGACCCATTTTTTCTGATCAGATCCTGGGTATCTTACTGCCATGTGTATTTTGTCTTCATCTGTATCTTGTTATTCCTCTTGTGGTGCCAGGGATTCCTTGATAATTTAATTATTCTAGGCCATCTATATTTTTTTCCTTTCCTAGCCAATCAACCAGCTTGTTTGAGCTACCACGTTTATACCTGGCTTCTCCAATCAAGCCCAGAGCAAACTGGAAGAGCAGTGAGGGTGGAGGTCGCGGCGGCAGCGACAGCGGCAGAGAAGGAGGAGGAGGAGGAGGAGGAGAAGGAGGCTGAAGTGGAGGCAGAGGAGACTGAGGCTGAGGTGGCAGAGGCCAAGGCGGAGGCCAAGGCAGCAACGGAGGCAGAGGTGAGCAGGTATGGGGCACATTAATGTGTTCCATGAGAGGGTAAGTCCTATCTATCTACCCTGGGTTAAATAAGTGACATTCAGACACAGAATAAATAGATGGATGCGCCTTCTATTTTTATCCCTAGAAAAGTGCAATAAAAAGATAACACATCAAGGCAATTGAAAATGGTGGTAAGATGGTCTTTGATGTTCTGGAAGTATAGAATCTAAAGTAGCTACAGCATAAAGTAAAGTTAGCAGGGGAACCTGATTTGATAGAAAGCCAAAAAGGGCCTGTAGACCCAGGGACATAAGAGCATGAGTGAATTTACTGTTTTTGCATGCTGAGGAACTCAACTGTATTTATCCCCACAACATGGAATGGTATGACAACCCACTCTTGACTCTTTGCCATTCTTCCTGGTCACCCTTATTTATTTATTTTTTGAGGTTGCCACAGGACATGTGTGAGAAGAGGAAAAGTATGAAATCTCCCCCCGTGGGGATGGCCACATCACATTCCTTTCTCCTCTCTTCTCCTCCTGGGATTTTGTTCATACACACACGTGCCCTGCTATGTTTTTCAGTCCTCTAAGACTGGGACTCGAACCACAGTCAGTGATGTGTGGGTCCTACGCATTAACTACCACACCATCTGCTTGCCCCATGTACTAGTACCTCTTAAAACTCAAAAGATGGACCATTACTCCGGTGGGTGGGACTCATGCATTAACCAGTAGGGCGGAGTCTGCACATGTCATAATAGGCATTTAGTCACAGGGTGATGCGGGGGCAGGGTTGCTGTGACATAAATACTGGAAGAGCTCTGGGCACTTGTCCAGTTACTCACTTGACTCGTGGAGAGTGGATGAGTAACTAGGAGTGTTGTCAGAGAAGATAATGACCAAAAAGCTTCCCCCAATTGCCCCTTCTAAGCCCCAGCCTCCTCCCCGTCCTCCTTCCCGCCTTCCTCCTTCCCGCCCTGCTCCAGCAAGTCACCTTCCTGCCATCTCTCCTAAAGCTGTCAGCTCTCAGCAGACTCTTCAGCGAGATGCCTCTGTTTCATCTTCCCGCCCTACTCATTTCCCTCCCCTGACTAACACTAACACTTGCCCCTGCCCTCCTGTGTGGGTCTCCAAACCCAGCTCCTCCTCTGCGCCCTACCGGCCATCTACTGGCCGCCGTCCTGTCCGCCTTGGTTCCCTTTTCAATAACTCCAACTTCTTTCTCCCCACTCCTCCTCCTAGCCCCCCTTCCTAATCCTCTTTACTCCCCACCAACATCCAGCCCCCCCCGCCGG